GCTACGGTTCTACTAGCATTGTTAACTGTCTTTCAAATAATACCTTTTTTTATTGGTAAGAATTTATTATTTTATTGTTTAATTTGTTCTAATTAAATTCTTTCTAATTTTAGGTGTTAAATATTTAAATGATTGTCCAATTCAACCAAATTTACCTGTTTATTTACTTGTTGTTGGTGCAATGGGTCTTGTACGTTTGTTAAATCTACTATGGAAACAATTTCGCCGAAGACGTATGCGAAAATTAGAAGGAGTGGAACTTGATCAAGAAGAAGAAACTGAAAATAGTTCGTGTTTTTTTTTTCTTTTTATAAATTATTCTTTAAAAAAAACAAAATTCTCTTTTTAGATGGTTCTGGTTTCACAGATGCTGTTTTAAATTTATTTCTTCTTGCCTGGTTTATTGTTGGACAATTTTGGACTTGGAAAGTTTTTATGCCAAGTTTTGAATTTGGATTAGAAAATCCAAATAATTATTGTCATAAAAACGTATATATATTTACACTTGTACATATTGCTTTTGTTTATATTATGTTTCTAGCAGTGATTTTTTTTTTTATTGCACTTACATGTTGTGCAACATATCCACATTTAATTATTAAGACAACACGTTAAATAAAAACAAAAAGATATATAAATAAATAAATAAATAAATATGCATATATTTTAATTAGCTGAATTAGGACGAGATGATGCAAGAAATTGTAAAAGCGAAAAATATGAATATGTAAAAGCACGTGAAACTTTTTGTTCAGTTACTAAATCTTTTAATTCAGCATACATTGAATTATTTGATCGTTTTTGTAATTCTTTAGCCATTATTTCAGCTGCACGTATAGCTGCCATACGTTTTGTTTCAGCTAATGCTGTTTGTAATTCTTCTTCACGTTTCATACGTTCACGTTCAGTTAATAAACGTTGTCGAGCACGTTCTTCATTTCGTGCTCGAATATAATCTTCACGTTCTTCAGGATTCATCATACTTAATAATAAGTCTTCTTCAGCACGAATTTGTGCTTCTAATTCTATAAAAACACGAAAACAAAAAACGTGAATTAGAATTATGGAAAATATTTAATACATACCAGCGGCTTTTTCTCCATCGACACGACCACCATCTGGGATACCTGTTTGTCGTTTAAGTCGATCCATTTTCCTATCATATGCTGCTTTAAGTACACGAGTACGTTCAGCAAATAATTTTTTTCGACGTTCTTGATATTCTTCATCCGTTAGACCATCACGTTCACCATCTAATTTACGTAAATCACGCTCCCTACAAATTGTTTAGTATTAACATGAATGAATTCAATTAATAATTATTAGTAGTTAATCAAATCAGTTAGAATTAGAAAATATTTTCACAAAGTTTATCTTAACTTACCATTGTGCAATACTTAAAAAACACAAATAACACATTTTATTTTTGTTTTTTTTTTCTCAATAGAAGAAATGAAATAATAAATAATTCTTATCTTACCGATCTTGATCTTCATCATTCAACAGTCCACTTGTATGATCAATAATATCAACTAAACTTTCACGTTGTTTTTTTAATCGATTTTGAATTGCTAATTCTTGTTGTCGTTTCATTTCAGCTACTTTACGTTTTTTTTCAGCTATCATCTGTTCTTTTCGTCTTCGTTGTTCATAAACACTTAAACCATCTAATTCTTTTTCCTATTATATACATACAAATATGAAATTTCGAAAACAAGGAAAAAAGCGAAGATTTTCTTTTTATACATCATCAGATGTCCAGTCAATATCATCCTGTTGCCCGGAAGGACTTTTAACTCGGACTGGTCGTGGTTTTAATCCAGCTTGTGATTGACGTCTATTTCCATTAGTAAAACTATCAGTTGGCGATGTTGCCATATCATCATCAGGAGATAATGCAACACCCTAGTTAAATGTAATAAAATCTAAGATAAAATTCTAATGCTTTTTTTTTACTAGTTTTTTCTTTGTTCGTGTTGAAATTCCAGTAGGCAAAAAATTTCTTTCTTCATTAGTTACACCTAAACAATAAGTGAAAACGATTGTCATTAATTACGATTAATTTGAAGAAGAAAAATTTCGATTATATTTTCTTTATCAGTTTATTTAATAGGCTGAATAATATATGTATAAATTTAATGGAACAACTTCAAGTTTTAGTTTCTCAATATGGATGAATCTCTTTAGAATTTAGATGCAATTGTCTTTGTAGAACATATGGAGAATTTTTTAGAATATGTTCTCATATCAAATAAATCCGAAACATCTATAAATTAAATTTAATTATTCTATTTAGAAATTGATTTTAATAAAATTATAGATCTGTTTCTATTGATATTATTAAACTGTAACACTTTAGATAGTTAGCATTGTTCAATATCATACCGGATATTCTAGTATGTCCACTAGCTGCTCTTGGAATTCGAAGTCCTTTAGCTTCTCGACCTAAACAGGAAATATGTTGTTCTAATAAAAGAAAAAGAAAAACATCTTTTTTTTGTCATACTTGCAATAATAGTTGTTAATTGTTCTTGTGTTACTGTTTCTTTGACTTGTAATGATTGTTCTACAAAATACATAAATAAATCAATCCTTCAGAATTAGGATCTTGAAATATAATCATAATTAGCCAGAATTAGTAACTAAATCAGAAAGTTCTCCGTGTTCATTAATGTAATAAAAATGAGCTTTTTCTCAAAATCATCTTCAACAAGAGACCTAGAAGGACAGAATTTCGGCTCGAACAGAAGTTTATCTCATTAATTCTCATAAAGAGCCTTATTTATATTATTAGTTGGTATAGTTCATAGTAATCAGTAGTGTCCTGCAACTGAATTGGGTTCCTGGCATTCATTCCGTTCCACAGCATGCGTCCGGATGCAATCTCACCGGATCGGATCCGACAATTATTGAGATCTTGACGTTTCAAGATATTTTTACTTTTTCAAATTTCTAATTTATCGAGTGAAAATCTGATCAGTTTATTATACTTGAAAACAGATTATAGAAGTGGAAAGTGATATTGTCGTACGAAAAGAATTTGTTTTTAATGAGAATTCATCTGCAGATAATAATGATCCATATGTGACGAAGTAACTGAATATGTGATGAATTTTGACTTACACACTGCATTCTATTCTAACGTTACCGGCACTGAGTAAATGAATACTTACCGAAATTTATCTGATTTTAGAAGCAGAAAGACACCCAGTGAATCCTGAACCGCTTGCTTTTATATAGAATTTGAGATAATCTCTTTTTTCTTATTGCTGTTTATGCAAGAAATTAAATAGTATACTTTTTCATATAAAATAAAAGTGTAAAATTGTACTGTGACTATGAGAATGTCTAGAAGATGTCGATCAGGTTCGGTTGCAAAAAGTCGCTGCCGTACAGAACACTAATGCTTAGTAGTATGTCGTCTTGCTGAGCACTTTAAGGTGTACCGACTAATCATAAAAATAAAGCTCTTTTATGAAGATTAATGAGGTAAACTTCAAACAACTCTGATATTCTCATAAACAATAGATCTTGACTCATCAATCATTTTTTTTTTGTTTAGAATTACAATTAATCAGCCACATGTGTGAATATTTTTGACAATATGAGTACTTAAATAGAGATTCTTGAAAGTTCTCAGTATCGATCGTCATTAAATGTCATGACCGTGATAAAATATTGTAACCATACAGGTCTCTATTAAAAAAATATCAATTCTTTTTCTATGTTCTCTTACTTCCAGTTGTTGGATCAGTAATTAATTCATAAACTTTTCCATCTTTTCCAATAACAGGTTTCATTCGATAAACTGTTTGTCCAGTTGTTTCATCAACAACTTGTTCAAATTCGATATTTTCTAATCCATAATTTTCCATTAAATCTTTACTTAAACTAATAATTTCTTTTCCTGTTATTGGATCAATTTGAATAGTAAATGCATCTTCATCTAAATCAATCGATGTTGTTATTGTTGCCACTTAAATAAATTAAAATTTGATTAAAAAAAAAAGTGTTTCGTTTCTAAATAATTTTATTACTTCTTTCTATAGTTTTTTGTGGTATAATACGAATTGTTTGTTCACCGGTTTGTGGATCAATAACAATTTCGACTTTTTGTCCTGCTATACTATTAACTTTAGGTTTCATAACTGTTTTTCCAGTTGTTTCATCAATTTCAATATCAAATTCCATATCTTTGACATTGGCTAATCCCTTTCGACGAACTGCTTCATCAGTTAAACGATAAAATTCTTTTCCAGTTACAGGATCAGTAAATTTTTCAAAATCATTTACATCAATTGATGCCTCTACAGGTGGTGCTACAGGATAAAATAAAATAAAAACTAAATTAAAGAATGAAAAAAAAAAAAAACAATTCTACGTGTTCGTCCTTTTGGTCGTTTAAGAACTATTTTTGGTAGGCCAGTTTTTTTATCAATATAAATTTCAAATTTTTGATCACCATCTAATTTTCCTGTTTGATTACCACCTTTCATACGTATTTCTTCTTTACCAGTTGTTGGATCTTTATAAATTTCAAATTCAACATCACGTAAATCATTAAGACCTTTTCTTGCTGCTGCTTCAGCTGTTAATTTAAGTATACGTTCACCAGTTATTTCATCAATAAATTCTTCAAAATCTTCATTGACTAAATCATTTTCAATTGTTTCAACTAAACAAAGAAATTAACTCAGAATAAACAAATATAATTTTCTTACATTGAACTTCAACTTCTTGTTTCATACGTAATGTTTGTTGACCAGTTTTAGGATCAATAACCATTTCAAATGTTTTATTACCTTTAGTTATTTTACCTGTACCACCTTTTATTTGTATAACTTGTTGTCCAGTTTTTTGATCAATTACAAATTCAAAATCAACATTATCCATATCAACAAAACCTTTTCGTTTTGCAACTTCTTTTTTCATACGTAAAACTTTCTTTCCAGTTTTAGCATCAATAACTTCTTCAAAATCATTTGCATTTACATCAACATTAGTTACTTCAACTAAATATCATAAAGATAAAAATTAATTTTCAAATTGAAACTTTTTTTAAAAATCTATTTACTTGTTTTTGGAATTTCTTGAACCATGCGAAGTACTTGTTTACCTGATGCATCAGTTATTATTTCAAATTTAACATCTGACGAGAGAGAAAAATAAATAAATAAATATAAGAAAAATTTTGTTAAATATTTATTCTTTACCATCTGGCCCATTGCCACCATCAGTTTGTTTAATTCGAATAGCTTGTTTACCAGTTTTCTCATCGATATAAGTTTCAAATTGAGCATCAAGTAGTTCCATCATACCAGCTCGTTTAGCTACATCAACTTTTAATTTAAGTACTTTCATACCTGTTTTAGAATCAATAACTTCTTCAAAATCATTTATATCAATGGATTTTTCAGTCACTTCTAATTCCGCTAGAAAATCAAAAATTTTAAATAAATCGATAACAAATTCAAATTTAAATATTATTATTCGATTTTCATACGTGTTGGTGGTCGTTCTTTTCTAATTTTAATTGTTGTTCGACCTGATGCATCAGTAATTAATTCAAATTTTGCATCACCTATGAAAAGAAAAAAAACAAAGAAATATGTAGCATATTCAGACAGATAAGGTGCATATAGCGCAAAATTGAAGCAAATTTTATTTTTCATTGATTTATATGTAGTCTGATAGAGTTGGTTACAAATACGTATATACTGTTGATTTCAATTAGAATTATTCCTTCAATGCAAAAAAATCCAAGCACTGATAAGACCACCGATATAACCGCAATTTATTATTTTTTTCTTAAAACAACTCTTACGTTTGTATAGTCATCTTTTCTTCTAATTCAGGATCAAAAAGTATACGTAGTAAAATATCAATTTCTTAGATTTAAAATAAATAATGCAGAAAAACTGTTATTTATAACTATAGTCTTAGAGCATGAGTTTATAGACACTTTTGTAAAGCTATCTAGTTTTTTTATGACAGAAGATAGGATCAAATGTGTCTAATCTGATTTAAATCAACTGGTTTCGAGCTATTAAAGTAATGTTTTTAGTTTTTTTAGATTTTATTGTAAGGTTGAAAAAATCGAACATTTCTTCGTTTTTAATAGTAAAAGGACAAAAAATAGCTTTGTTTACTGTAGTTTCGATTACCACAACTCAGTTGGAAAATAAAATAAACAATGTATTAAGAATCGAAATGAAAATCTAAATTGGACCACAAAAAATAATTTTACTAAAATATATGTGAGCTGATGAAGATTTTCACACTGATTCTGAATATGTTGCTTTTTAACGAAGTTTTAATAATAGAAACAGTAGTAAGCCAGACCCTTTTACTATTAAGAACAAGACAATGTTCGATTTTCTTAACCATAGAACAAAATCTAAAAAAGCAAAATGGGTACTTTTGTAGCTCGAAACCAGCTAATTTCAATAAGATAAAATATGTGGTCTTATCTTGTACCAAAAAACGTAGATAGATTTACAAAAGTTCTAATAAATATATATTATAAGTCTATAGTTATTAATAGCAGTTCTTGTGCATTATTTATTTTAAATCTACGAAAATAAAATTTTTCTACTCAGTTTGTGATGCTGAATTAGAAAAAAAAAAGATTCTAAAAACTTAAGAGTTGTTTTAAGACGAAAACTAATTTTAACCAACCTCATCAAATCATATATAAATCAATGAAAAATAAGACCCATTCTAATTTTGCGTTATATATACTTTTACAAATAAGAAAAAAAAAGGAAAAACAAGTATCTACCAGCATTGCCTTGATTTCCACCACCTTTAATAACAATTGTTTGTTTTCCATTAGCATCCGTAACCATTTCAAATTGAACATCAAGTAAATCAGTTAGACCTTTACGTGCAGCAGCACCCTTTTTTAATCGTAATACTTCAAGACCTGTATCAGGATCAATAACACGTTCAAAATCATCTACATTTAATTGACTTTCAATAATATCTACATTATCTATTGATAATATTTCTTATTGAATTTTTTTTTGTCACTAAATAATTCTTAATAATTTTACCTTTCTCTTGTTCTGTAACAGTTCGTTTAATTATTTTTTGTTTTCCTGTAACAATATCAACAATAATTTCAAAATTAGTATTTGTTCCACTACTAAAATCAGATGATGGAGTTTTAAGAACTATTCTCGATTGACCCGTAACAGCATCAACAACAATTTCAAATTCAGCATTTGCTAATTCTTCTAAACCTTTAGCTTTAAGTACATCAGCTTTCATTCGTAATATTTCTCGACCAGTTAATGGATCAATTATACGTTCAAAATCATTTAAATCAATATCATTTTCTGTTATTGTAACAATAGCTTTACATAGTCAAAAATAAAAACAACAAGAATAAAGATATATTTTAATTGAAAATAAATTAAAATAAAACTTACGTTCATTTGATTCATCATTATCATCATCAGCAATCATTCGAATTGTTTGTTTACCTGTTATGGCATCAGTGATAATTTCAATGCGATTACCATTCATTTGATTTGTTCCATCATCTTTTATACGTATTATTTTTTGACCTGTTGTTGGATCAACAACAACTTCAAAATTTGTTTTTCCTAAACTAGTTAATCCTTTTCGAGCTGCTATATCAGCTTTTAATCTTAATACAGTTTCACCGGTATTTTCATCTGTTACCAATTCAAAATCTTCAATTGTTATATCGGATTGAATAATAGGAGCTAAAAACCAAGAAAAATATAATGCGAAGAAAAGAAATAGTTCTTACGTGTTTTTGAAACTTCTTTTTTCAATATTAATATTTGTTTTCCAGTATCCGGATCGAAAACAATTTCGACTAAAAATACATAGCAACATAAATCTATTATGTATTTTTTTTTCTTTAAAAAAAAAACAAAATTCGAATCTTCAATGATCTATTCAACAAATGATGATTGTAATTCAGCTAAAAAACGTCTTTTAAAAGATCTTATTCAAATTCAATCATTAACAATTCAAGATGGTGTTACAGCAACACCATTAAATGAATCAAATCTATTCGAATGGCAAGCTATTATAACAGGACCTGATGATACACCTTATGAAGGTGGTCTTTATGAATTATGTATTTCAATACCATGTAATTATCCAGTTAAACCACCAAAAATACGTTTTAAAACTGAAATATTTCATCCAAATATATATAAAAATGGTGATATATGTATTGATATATTACAAGATCAATGGAGTCAAGTAATGAGTATAGAAAAAATTTTAATATCAATACGTAGTTTATTAAATGAACCAAATATAAATAGTCCAGCTAATCCTGAAGCTGCTTTATTATATAAAGAACATCGAAATGAATTTAATCAACGTATACGTAATGATATTAATAAACAAATGAATGAAAAATTAGTTTTACTTACACCATTAAATTCATATGAAAATCTTTCTCCTTTTCTAGAAAAATAAAATTATTCTTACCTGTAAAATTAATATTATTTGGTAAATTTTTGATTTTTATTATTCGTTCGCCAGTTTTTTTATCTGTTATTATATCAAAATTTGTTTCAATTAAATCCATAAAACCTTTTTGTTCGGCAACAGATTTTTTTAAACGATATACATATTCACCAGTTTTTTCATCAATCATTCGTTCAAAATCATCAGGTGATATTTCTTCAGAAATAATTACAGCTAATAAATAAAAAATATAATAATTGAAAATTTTTTTTTCAAAAATATCCATTTAAGAATCCCCCTTAGAAAAGTCGATTTTTTTTAGATTTATACATATTTTGATAATTTTTGCATTGAGCTTCAAGCTGACATAATTTCTTTTGTTAAAAAACAGCGGTTCGATTTTTTTCTGGAGATTGTACAGTGGTGTGGACTGTGGGTAGAATAGCGATCTCATCTTCACCTAAGCATACACTTACACTAACACTCATGCTCCAAACTTTTCTTAATAACGACGCAATACAAAAGTTGTAATTTTGTTGCATAATAGACAATTAATACTAGGTCATTAATGAGCCTGGTTTTTGAATTTTTCTTTTGCAAAAATAAAAAACTTAAATCTTTGATTTTAATGAGCGAATTTTATTGGCTACGAGTTTGAGAATTTTTCGAAAAAGTTTTCCTCTTTAAAAAACAAACAAAGGAAAATTAAAAAATCCCACATGTACTCTAAAATATAAAACCACCACGACATATTAGCTCATATTCTTATTTTGAAAACTTTTGCTCACGTCAAGAATATTTTTCATCAATGAATTTACTTTAATTCGTGAATATCTTGGAGTGTTGAAGGACATGTTTTACCCATAATCTATTCTAGCGAAGACTAACATTCTTTGAAATTTTCAATTCGAATCGGATGAAAAATAAAAAAGTTTATTTCTGAGAAAAAGGGATGCTTAATGTACACATATATTTACTTTTTGTTTTTTTCTTTGGTCTTTTTGGTTTTATTTTATTTTTTCTTGTTTGATATGCACTTTTTATACGAATATATTCATCACCTGTATCAGGATCTAAATATATTTCGAATGCTTCTATTGGATAATCCACAAGTGCCATAAGAACTTCATCAGTGATTTGTAAATTTTCTAAATTTCCTTTATTTACTAAATGAAATAAAATTTTCAAAAACAAAATCATTTCTTTTTTCTGTTTGTTTTTTTTTTCTTACAAACATGTTGAAGTGTTTCACGAAGAATTTCTCGATATTCATCATCAGATACACTTGCAAGTCGTTGGTCAAGAAGATATTTTAAATTACGTAAATTTTCAATAATCGCCAACTGAAAAAAGAAAAGTTGCTAGTGCAATTCATGTAGGATTAAAATATGAAACACAATGTAGCTGCTATTATTTGTCACAATGAGATTATTTTATTCTATCGATATTTGCGACACAATTCTTTATCATTCTTTTATTTAATCCTTCAAAAATGCAATAAGAAAGGAGTTTATATATTGTAACGAGACATTATTACGTCTGTCATAATCTGTAGAGTAGGCAATAGTTAGTGCAGTTTTGGTGAAAATATTGACAGTGACGCTACTGACTACACTGGATTAGTGTTCACTGAGGCATGGACACACCCATGCAATATAGATATATGAAGTAAATCAGTGAATACCGATTTAGTGTAGTCGGTGTGAGATTTCAGTCTACATTTTACTGAAACAGCACATTTCTAATAGTATATATCAAAAGCAAGCAGAAATTCTTCAAAAGGTAAATCAATCATTAATATAGAAGTGTTCTATTAGATTAATTTTCTTGATCATGGTGACAAAATCAGATTTCAGTCGACATTTAAAGATATTAGTTTATTATTTGGAATAAATGTATATGTTAGCATCAAAACTGAGTTTTTGTGTCCAATGTCGGATCGAAGATTGGATGGATTCGATATCGAATTGAGCGATAAAGTCATATTAAAACTCGAATATTTGTGTGTAGATCAATGTTTTACTTAGATTCTTATTGATGAATTGAGGTCGAACAAAGTCAGCTGATCAATTAAATTTTCATTCGTGGAGTTATGAACGGTTTTATACACAAGAACTACTTCAATCGAAATCTGTTTTAAATCACTCGAATCTTTAGTAGATTCGTCTATTAATAATTTTATTAATTGAAATGTCATTACACGACATAAATTCATTCATAAGAATCCGAATACGACATCGATCTACAGACTCATCCACCTCCTTCAATCCGCTACCGGTTATAAGTTTTAGTTTGAACATTGATATGTTTTAACACATACCTGTGCATCTTCAGCAAGATGATATCCAGAATTAGAACGTTTTAAAATAATTCTAGCTAATGCTTGTGCATGATTGGCAAGTGCTGTAAGAAATTCTTTATCTTTTAAATCGACTTTACTTACTAAAAGAATAAAACAAAAACAAATTTAAATAAAAAAAAAATGAAAATTAGTCTATATGAAATTCTATACATCTTCGTTGTTTAAATAAATCAAAAAGACTTTTAATTTGTTTTACATAATGTGGATCAGCACCACTTTTTACTAGATCATTTATCCACATATCATAAACCCAAATTGTAAAACTTAATGATGCATCTATATCACCAGCATGAATATTAATAGCTAAAAAAGAATCAAATAGAAAAAAAATAAAAAATATTGATTATCAATACTTCTTCGAATTAATGTTTCTGTATCACCGATTGGATCTAAATAAAATCTTTAATATCGAGTTCAATATGTAAATAATAACATACGTTTATGTCCATGTACACCAGATGGTCGATAATCTGGTTTGTATAAATAAGGTCGTTTGATCATTGGTGGTGTTGGTGGCCGTTGATACGCCCAGGATGTAAATGCAAAAAGTGGTGATTCTATTTTAAGGTAAGACTTTTTAAATTGGAAAGAAAAAGCTTATTTTGAACAGCTTCATTGGAGCTGAAATGTGAAACTCACATATGCTTTTTAGCCTTATGATAATAATACAAAATATGTTGAGTAAAACGCCTCTAGCAGGACTATAGCTATTTTTCGAAGACCCTCAATCGCCAGAGAAATAATCTGTCTTATTTAATTCTGCATTTTGAATAAAAAATTTTCACTGGCACCGCTATTCACTCGTTACTTTTTCATTGTCGTATTCCATTTTTGTTAAATGAACAGGCAAATAAACCTGTTGTACATATCCACTATTTCTACAGCAGATGGAAGCCGTTGGATTGGCTCGAATACGATTAGGTTTGGGTCCGAAAATTTTGGATTCCATGGGTTCTTGTAGTCTGAGACATATCTAGGGTGCGCTAGTCAAAGAATACAAAAAACTAGAAATAAGTATCTTATATTTACAGAGCGACTATCCAACTGCAATTAGACAATTTCATTGAGAATATCAAAGTACAGTTTCGCTGGATTCAAATCCCAAGAACATTCAAAAAAACCAGGTCGAAAATTTTTGAATCCAATGGGTTCCAATAGCAGATTTCAACGCACTATTATATATCTTGATAACCTCATCAACCTTGATACTGATTATTTCCTAAAGTAATAACTTGATCAGCTTACGATTTTTTTTATATTGATCATATGATGACTGTAGCAAATCAATGCCTGACATTCATCATTCTTGGCATATTAAATATAATTTTTTTTCTGCATAAAAATCAAAAACTGCAGTATTTAGAACATTCGCAAATGTAATTATTTCAGCCATTCAAATATTAAGAAAGGCTTTAGTATGTTCTAGAACAGTTTTAGTCTTATCATTAATGCCACTCAGAACCTTTTCATGTTGTTAATGCAGTCTGAAAAAAGAGTCTAACACCTGTTGTCCTCAGTGACTAAGGCCTGTAATGGCGAGGGGAGAAGTCGAAAAACTTCGACTTTAGACTTACACTCACCAGTTTCTTCGAAAGTATATGTGAGTTTCACAAAGAAATTTCTTTTTCAAATAATAACATACGAGATTCGGTAACTGGTCGAGTTTTATTATTTGACTGAATTCCAATACGTTGTTGTTGAATTGCTTCAGTATGCATAGATAATGTTGAATGAAGCACAGCTAAAATAAAAATAAATGATTAATTATAAAATTTCAATTAAATCTATTTATAGTAACCATGATCCTGTATTTCTTGAGCAGTTCGTTTTTGATGATGATCTAAGATAAATAGTTTTATCTTCTTTTATAAATTTTATTTGTAAATATTTACGTTTACGTCCAGTAAATGCTGAAAGTCCAATAGGTGGTGGAGGAGGAATTAATGTATAAGATTGTGATACGATTTGTCGTCTTTCAAGAGGTACTTCATAACTCCATGATTGCAAACCAATTTGACTATTAAAATCACCACCAGTTAAATTTAAAGCTAATAGAATATTTTTTTAATCGATTTTTTTTTAAAAATCAAATTTGTTAATCCTACTTCGTCGAATGACTGTTTCATCGGGTAATCGTTCACGTTTTGTTCCAAGTACCATTGGTACACAAGGTGCAACTGATACTCCTTGTTGATCATTATTTTCTATTACAAGAGAATTCGTTGAAGGTTGATGAGCAAACGGTTCCTGTTTTGATAAATAATCATCATCATCATCTATGATTTGAAATAAATTGTTCATGCAGATCTTAGTTTTTAGTATGTTAACTTACTATCTGGATGTCCAGATGGTCCACCAACGAAAAGAATTTCACCATCAGGTGCAATTAATAATGCTCCTGGAGGAACTACTGATGAATGTTTTGATTTTAATGTTACATGGGATCGATGTGTATAGGCAGATCGCTGTGCATGTACTTCTATTAGAGAAATAAATATGATTTATTAATTTAAAATAAGGATTATCAAACAAACCAGGTGGTATTATAGAAGTTTCTGTTAAATTCATTTCTGATGGATGAACATGTTGATCTAATTAACAGAAAACTAATATAATCTTTTTATGAAAAACCCATTGTATACCATGTTCCTCATCTGTTTTTGTTCCAGGTGACTGTGATGCATTACGAACAAGTGCATCTTCTACTGCATCGACAATTGATGTTCGTGTACTCTCGTTATTATCATTATCGTCTTCTTCTTTAGATGAATCAATAGCTAAAAGTCTTTCTGCTTCTTCTATAAATATATTAATGAATATAAAATGTTGATTGTGTGTGTGTGTCTTACCATGTATGCTCAATGGTGATGTGACACAACGACCTGTCGCAAATGTTTTTCCTGTTCCTTGTCTTGATGGATTTAGTTTTGAACTTTTCGATGAACGTTGACGATAAAATGAATTTGTTAAAGTTTGTTCTTTTTCAACTATTATTTAATTTAAAGTTAGAATATAGTTTGTTATTTTTTTTTATATTAAATATTTACTTAATTGATTTGTTGCTGTTAATGTATCTTGTTGTGACTCTGCAGGTGATGAAAGATGTTTTATTTGTGTATGATTTCTATATCTATGTGTTAGTTTTGTCGATATTTTATGTTGATTAGAATCAGGATCATGAAATTTTCGTAGTCTTGTAGATAATTTTGTTGTTGTATGATGTTGATTTCGTATTGTTGAAGATTCTTGATGAGCTGAAGTCGATATTGGTGCTAACAATCGAGATGCATGAATAACTAAAACAAAAATAACGAAGATTTTTATTTCAATTAAAATAAAATTATTTTACGTTTTGTATGAACAAAATCACTCGCTGTTTGAGTATATTCATTATTAAATTCATCAGTATTTGTTGAATCATTTTGTTGTTCACCATTATTTGTTTGATGTTTTGATTTGGTTGGTAAAGCTACAAAAATAAATAAATAAAGAAATTTATATAAAATATAATAAAATAATATTCAGTAACTATTCGAATGTGATGGTCGATTTCGTGCCCATTTACTTCCTAGCATTTTACCAAACATATAATGCTGTTGTGATGGTGATGTATTTGAAGATGAAGTAGATTTTAAATTCTAATGAAATGTTTTACATAGAGATTTTGCACATATTTATTATTTTACTTGATTATGATTACTGAGTGTATCCGTAGGAAAAGCTGAAAGAGTACTGTCGTCAACAAGTATTGGAATATCCATGGTTGAAAAACTTTGAGTTATATCTGAATCTCGTACACGATTAAGTGCATCTTCAAATATTTCCTACATAAAGAAAATAAATATTTAAAATAAATTAACAATTAAATTTACAATATTTTGTTGTTCAGCAATATTATGTAAAGCTGTTTGTATAAGTAAATCAGTAAGAACTTTTTCTTTTTCTGATTGTTCTAATTTGTCATAAGATAAACAACTTCCTTTTGAATCAACAATCTATATTAAAAATAATTTTAGAAATATTTTCTGCGTTTTTTATGTATTCATATACTTCTAATGTATTCTGTGTTTCAGGATTTACTTGTTCTGTATTTTCACAATCTAAATCAAAGAAATTATATATATTCTGAACAAAAAAGAACTAAATATGAAACAAACCATTTGAAGAAATACTATTTTCTATTTGAAAAAATCGATAAGTATCTGCTAAAAATGATGGAGAATGTTGAGCAATATCTGGATTTCTATAAACCTAATTTGAAAAAGAAAATTTTTAAATATCATAATTATTCATATACAAACAGGAGGAAGAAGAGAAATTTCATCACTAAGAACATGTGTTTTCATCATTGAATAACGTTGATTACGAGAAGCTGAATATTCCAATTCGAGAATAGCTAACAATATTTTAATTTAAATAAATCTTTTTTGAAATTTATAAAAAGAATTTTCTTACAATCAAGCTCTCGTTTTTTATCTTCACTACTAGCAATCATATATCGTCGTTTAATAGCAATATTTGGACTAATACCAGCATATTTTGATGGATGAGGACGTTTTTTTGATGGTATTTTCATATTTATATATGTACCATCTTCATCAACAACACCATCAGCAAATTGATTCTAAAATATAGATAAAATTAATATGTTTTTGTATTTTATATAAAGAATTTTAGTTATACTTCCGGAGTTCCACCATAAGCTAAAATACTTCGTTTTAATTCACCTATTTTAAGGGGTGGTGGACTTATTAAAGAAGGTGAATTAAAATCATGATGAAGAAGTCTTTTATCTCGATAAGATTTTGATCTTGAATGTTTAATAAAACCAGTTTCAGCAAATAAAACAAGAGGACCACGTCTATTAAAAATATCAATCGTTTTCTTACATATCTAATTTAAACATTTCTATTACTTTGTTGAATATGTTTTTGGTATATGAGGAAGTTGATTAGTTCCTGACGTATGAATAAGTGGTTTTTCCTAATATACATATATACATACGTTTAAAACATTTGATATGTTTTCTCTAATAAACAAAATAAATACAAACATTTTGATCAGCATAGATTTCTAAACGGGAGCCAGTGTCAGATAATTCAACATGACCACGACTTAATTTCGATAGATGAAGTACATTTGCCATAGTTTATTTCTTCTCGAACTTGTTGATTGTCGTCTTTTGAATTGAATCAATTCATCAAATAAAAAAAGAGACCAATGTTCATTTCTTTCTTTCTTTCTTTTCCTTTTCTCGATTTAAACAGTGCGACGAATAATTTTATTCAAGATATGTTTCTGTGCAACAAATAGCATTAAGCTAGTGGCAACATTTACTTTAAAAAAAAACAAAGTAAACTATTGTAATCATTGATTGATGTTATTGTTGATAGAATAAATGGAATCAACAAGACAATATTGTGTCGTTTTATTAGACAAGGTAAAAATATTTGACACATAAACATGTGAGAATCACTGAATAAAACATATTGACATTTTTTTATGATAATTATTTTGAAGCGTTCAAGATGAGATAACAGAACTAAGTGAACTAAACAGTAGGATAATATCTCATGTTAAACAGTTGTTTTGAATGTTCGTCGATTAACAAAATTTTAAATTTTACTTAAAATAAAATAAATATAATTCTAACTATCATGAAGACATTCATTCTGTAGAATATATCGTAAATATTTATTAGCAGAGTAAGAAAAACAAAGAAATTATCAATAAATGATACTAATAGTAATGATAGTTATAAAAATTATGAATATTCCAGTAATAACAGTTACTAATATCCAATATTGTTTCATTCCTAATAATTGTTGATGATTATTAGATATTCTCTCATGTGTAAATAACTCCATATTAGCAGTTGAATGAATGATATTATGATCATCGTCTTGTACGGTCATATCTAATGGAGGTGATGATGATACAATAAAAGTAGCTGATGATGTTGAAAAACATACTTGATGTTGTTCAGGTTCACCACTAGCTAACTTTGATCGATAATAATCATCTGTTTTATTTTCAACATTAACTGAAGATATTAAATGTTCATTTTTATCATCAATAGAATCACGTATAGTTCTATTAGAAATCATTGAAATTATCGGTAAATCAATACAATCACCTCTAGCACCCGTATTATTAGTATTCTGAACACTTGATATTGGTGTAATTATATCTGTTTTCCATAATTTATTATTATCGATTGACATTTTTTTTTAATTTTATTTTGCTTTCTTGAAATAATTGATTATTTAATATTTAGATCTTTGAATTATTCATTGAAATAGGATATTATTAAAATTAACTGAAGATTTCAACAATACTGTTAATTAATTCTATGAGTATTAACAGCAACAACAACAAACTCAAGGATCATAAAATTTAAATTAGAACTCAGAACAATCAAAGCGCCAATATGATGAAAAAAAAAACAACAAAGGTTTTTCTTCATAAATTCAGTTATCAATCATTAAAACTTTAGACAAAAAAAAAATAAATGTATCATCCTAATAAACTCTAACATCTTTCTCAATGTTCATAAATCAATCAAATATATATATATATGAGGTCTCAAGGCATTTATCAAAAGATATTATATTAGATCATAAGCACGCATGGGTAAATAATTGAACTTAACTGAACAAGAAAGAAAAAGAAGATAGATATAAGCATAAATCTACGTTGTTGAAGGAACAAAAAAAAATAGTATCGAATAACGACTGAGAAAAAAAAGATTTCTGTAGGAACAGATGAAAATGAATTGAAGTAAGTGTGTTTATGTGTGTGTTGTCTCTGATCGCTCTGTACAGCCAAACACCGGGAAGTACACTCTTGCCCGTTTTTTCAAAAATCAATGAAATAGAGAAAATAAAACGACAGATAGACGAACATCACACCAAAAGTAGAATAGAAAAAGAGAAGGTGATTAAATAAAGAAAGAACAAAGAGAAAAGAAGAAAAAAAAGACTGTTGTAAATATTGAATGAAAGTGAATGAGTGAGGAATTAGCCTAATCAAATTTTTATGATAGAATTCTATTTGTGTTGAACTACGAATAAGTTTTAATATTGATCGACTAGTTTTTCTTGAAAGCATCTTCGCCTGCATATGTGGCATTATTACCAAGCTCTTCTTCAATACGTAATAATTGATTGTATTTAGCCAAACGTTCCGAACGACATGGTGCGCCAGTTTTGATCTATTAAATTCAAAACAAAAACAAAACAAAAAGTATGAGATTAAATAAATAAGAATATTAAATCAAACCTGTCCGGTGCCTAAGCCTACGACAAGATCAGCAATGAATGTATCTTCAGTTTCACCACTTCGATGGCTAACCATAACACTCCAGCCGGCACCACGAGCCATGGTGCATCTAAAAATTGAAATATATATGTATGAAATTTGATTATAATTAAAAAAATAAACTTACGCCGCAATGGCTTCAGTAACCGAACCAATTTGATTGACTTTGAGTAGAAGACAATCACATGCATTCTTCTCAATAGCTAATTTAATTCGTTTTACATTTGTTACCGTGAGATCATCACTTCAAAAAAAAAAAAAAAACAATTTATTATGAAATTTTTATTTTCAAATAAATATTTACCCAACAAGTTGTACACCACGACCTTTAACAGCAGTAAGAAGCGTTTGAAAACCATTCCAATCATCTTGTTCAAAAGCATCTTCAATTGATATTATTGGATATTTCTCAATTTGTGTAAGATAATATGCAACCATTTCTTCACTTGTTAACTTAAAATATAAACAAATAAAAAATTTTTGTTTTGATTTCTTATTATTTTTTCTTAGATAATTACATAATGTGGTCGACCTTTTTCTTTATTATTTAAATCATATTTTTTTCCTTCTTCATCATAAAATTCACTTGCTGCTACATCCATACCAATTTTAATTTTACCTGTATAACCAGCTTTATCAATAGCTTTAACAATAATATCAAGTGCTGAAATTATTAATAACAAAAAAATAGAAACAAAATTATATTGTTTTATCAAATATTTGATTACCTTTTTCAGCACTTTCAATATTCGGTGCAAAACCACCTTCATCACCAACATTAGTTGCATCAAGACCATATTCAGCTTTAACTCTATAAAAAAAAATTAATTTTTTTTTTATACATCAAAGAAGTTTCAAAAGAAAAATCTATAATACAAGTTTTTTAAATGATGATAAACTTCCGAACCCATACGCATAGCTTCTTTAAATGTTTTAGCTCCAGTTGGTAAAAGCATAAATTCTTGCATGGCTAATCTATTACCAGCATGACTACCACCATTAATAACCTAATCACATTGAACAAAAAAAATTAATTTCAAAATTAATTTAAATCTTAATTTATATTACATTGAAAGCAGGTACGGGTAAACGAATAGTTCCATTGGAAAGTTTTGCAATGTATTGATATAAAGGTAAATTACTATGTGCCGCTCTACAAAAAAAAAAGAAGTTAAGAATAATAATTCATATTGAAAAAAAAAAAAAAAAAAGGCAAATTTACCCAGCTTTGCAGACAGCAATTGAAATACCAAGAATAGCATTGGCACCATATTTTTCTAGATAATAAATACGATTATATAATTGAAGAAATAAAATCATTTACTTTTGCTTTCTGTTCCATCTTGTTGAATTAAAAATTCATCGATTTCTTTTTGTTGAGTTGCATCAAAACCTTTCTACATAAATGAAATAATATATTAATAAAATGATTCAAATTTTAAACATAAACTTATTGACGAACTTCAATAATTAATTTTCCTAATGTTTGTACATTAGCTACAGCTTTTTCAACACCTATATTAATTATAATTAATTTCTTTTTAATGATTATCATATAATTTCGTTTACCTTTTCCAAGATGAACATTTTTATCTCCATCACGTAATTCAAGAGCTTCATGAATACCAGTTGAAGCACCAGATGGAACACCAGCACGAAAAAGGCCTAGAAATAATAATACATCAATTTTAATTATAGAACATTTCTATGGGATTTTTTTAAGAGATAATTCATTTGAAAACATCTGATTTATATGTATATATAGGTTTTGTTTTATACATGTAAGTCATTCTCGCGGGAAGAAAAGGGCAACGAAGACATAGAAATAAGATTACTACACCTTCAGTATTAGCTTTCAAGGTTATTTAAGAGAATGTTTTGACTTTATTTTTGTCTTGAAAATACTAAATTATTCTACTTGTTTTTCTTTCTTATTTTAATTAAGATTTTATTTTGATTGATAGATTTATTTCGTGTTAAACTAATATTTTTTTCTATATAATACAATAACAAATAAATACTTATTGTGATACTGATATAATATATTATACAATAAAGATTAAGGTCTTGTTTTGTCAAATAAGTTTTTTTTATTTATATAGAAAAGACAAAAAAAAAGAGAAATTTTTTTTTTCCTCTTTTTGTTTGTCCTCTTTTTATAGGAAGGAGAAATTTTTTTTTTTTTAATACCTTTGCTTGTCCAAAGATCGACTTCGACAGTTGGATTACCACGACTATCGTATATATAACGACCAACAATCTTGAGAATTTTATCACTCATTCTTTGTTGTTATTTGATGACGGATGATCTAGAATAATTTAAAAGCAAACTTAAAAATCTATTCTATTATTAAGATTTAAATCCGTGAACAATATAATATATTTATTTCTTTATGATAAACTTACTCGATTTCAATTGCCGGTATGTTGGTCAGTCGATCGATGGCCAATACGCCTAGGCGTTAAGGCCTTTTTTCTTTCTGCTGTTTTTCTCTTCTTTGCTTTCTCCTTTCAACTAAAAGCCGACGAGAATCGAATGCTAGCAGACAAGCAGTAGCAAAAATATTTTCTCTTTCTCCTTTCCGTTTTTTCTCTCTTGTCTTTTATTTCTATCTCTTTTCGTCCTAAGCGACAACTAAAAACCTCTATGAAGAACAACTCGTCGCGTCGACAACATAGACAAACACATGCGACTATGTTATTTGACAATTAACCTTGTGATATAAGCATCAGAACGAAAGAACATGAGAAAAAACGTCTGGACTTTTGTTGTGTAACTGACAACGGCGATGAAGGGATTTACAAGGCAATGTATAGGAAAAAGAAAAAAGAAAAAAAAAAAAAAAGAGAATAGAAAAGCAAGAGAAAAAAACAAGAGGTAAATTCTGTTTTTCTCTCATTCTCTATCTCTCGTTCTCTTACTCTTTCCAAGGTCGGACCGACACGCATTGGATATTGACGATAATGGCATTGACAAGTTCAGAATGGGAAACTACTTGATTAGAAAAAAAAGAAAGAAATTGATTTAGTTACGTGACATCGATATTCGATATAAACAAGCAAATTCTAATATAGGAATATATATATATGAAAATGATCCTTTGATTCTCTTGCATCATTCTCATCATATCAAGTAGAGAACTAAAAAAGAAAAGATCGACTAGCTCGTTAGATATGTTTTATAATATGTTCTTAATGTCGGACATTCGATTGAATAAATGACCTCAAGCCCAAAACGATGGATAATTCAGTCTGATAGGAGACAAAAAAAAATCGAGTTACATTAGCTTACGGGTGAACGAAGAGGACTGATATGGAACAATGATATACGCACGATAAAGATTAAACGTTTTGTTTCAAGATCTCCGATCATATTCAACTTAAAAAAAAAACAAAAAAGAAAAAAAGGAAAAAATTTCTTCTCTAATGGAAATTACAAAATCAATTGAAAATAAAAATTTTTTTTTTCCATTTTCTACCTTACAGCAACATATATTCTTAAACTACGTCGTCTAGATTTTATCTTACTCTCTTCTATAGACCAACATTTACGGACATGTTTTTGTATTTCTATATCCCTACATTTACTAGTCATAAATAAAAGTGAAAAAGCATTCTATTATAAAGTGTTCGTCGATCGAATACACGAAAGAAATATATTTATTTATTTACATCGTACCGACACCCTCTATCGCTGTTGTTTTATTTTGTTTTATGATGATGATGATGATGCAGTATGTAGTACGAGTCACAAGTATAGTGTGTATTGCCTGGATTCTTCTTCTTGTTCTGCTTCTTTTTCCACAGTTAATAGTCAATAACGAACAGTGAAGAGGAATGAATAGGAAAATAATGGAATTAAATATTAAGAAACAAGCTATTCAGTCACTATAGTTTTTCTTAT